TCAAGTTATTAACCAACGGCTATTAACACGCACTGTTTTATTATTATTACTGTAATCCCATTTTTTTTATAGCTCAAATAATCTTCACCCAAATTGTCATTTTAAGTGTGTTAAGCATGAAGGCAGTTTTTTTTTAAAAAAAATTATTATATGTATTTCCCGACCAGATGCTGCCGTCTTTTTGATTTATCTTTCAGCTTATCAATACCCGGAGGATCCTTATTATCCTTGGTAACCTCCGGCGCGCGACGATCCCATCCAATTCGGTATCGAACCAACATCACGTTGATTCTGGTGGGAGAGTAGTGTAGTGGCATTGAACAATAACCGCACAATCCACAAAGCTGAACACGAGACTACTCAGAAAATAGATATTCAATATTTAACGCGGATAAATACCTAACGATGGAGAAGGCGCGAAGAATGAATTGAACGGACTGGAGTTGATCGAGTGGCATGGCTCGGCCATGCAGGCGTGGTCTCTGCTGAATGTTACCTTATATCTTCTATTCGTATTAAATATATTGTTCTTTCTTCAGCCTAACCTTGTTCTACATCATGTATTGGTAATTGATACGATACAGTGAGTTGGTGTAGTCGATGGTGTGACTTCCACGTAAGATCTTATAGATTAGGCAGTTATATCATGACAAATCTACAAATTTAGGATTAGGTCTATTATTAGAGCAGTACTAATATCATAGTAGACCATAATTCTACATACCAAATAAAGGCAATCTCACCAACTGTGATAACTACAGGAGTATCACTCTTCTCTCAATACCGGGAAGAGTCTTCAACAGGGTATAGTTAAACATGATGAAGGACTCCGTAGACGCCCAACTTCGAGACCAACAGGCAGGATTCCGTAAGGATAGATCGTGTGCAAACCTAATCGCAACTCTACGGATCATTATGGAACAATCAATTGAATGGAATTCATCACTCTACATCAACTTCATTGACTATAATAAAGCATTTGACAGCGTGGGCAAAACAACAACATGGAAGCTTCTTTGACACTACGGCGTGCCTCAGAAGATAGTCAGTATCATACAGAATTCATATGATGGTGAACATACACAAAAGAAAAGCAAGATTCTCTGAAACAATACAGTTTTCACCAATCGAATCACACTTGACGGAGAAGATTTGGAAGATGTAAAAACCTTCATATATCCGGGCAACATCGTTGATAAACTCTCTGGGTGTGATGCAGATGTGAAGGCGAGGATCGGCAAAGCAAGACCAGCATATTTAAAACTGAAGATCTGGAACTCAAAACAACTGTCGACCAACACCGAATTCAGAATTTTCAATACAAATGTCAAGACAGTTCTACTGTAAGAGGCGGAAACCTGAAAAACTACGAAAGTCATCATCCAGAAGATACAGGTGTTTATTAATAGTTTGTATGCATCATTACCAAGGTTTGATTTGATAATTTCGAATAAATTGGGCATTGGGTAGATTGTTATAAATAGTTAATACATTTGTAATATCCCAATGAGTAGAAAATTAGATTTTCTGACGTCTCGTGACTTAGTGTAAGTCACTTCTCCAGAGAATGAATAACCGAATTTAAATTAATGCAAGTTTAAATAGTACAACGGAACAACAAGGATAATATTTGATCAATGATCGTTGTCCATCTTTTTCTGCTATTAATTGAGAATTTCATTGCATCATCCTAAACTATTGCTGCACAAACTATTATTCCGGTATTAATCTTACTACAAAGATGAGACTATAATTTATGGACGAACTAGTCAGATTTAAGATAACAGATCTTAGATTTTGGCGCAAGATTCATTTACTCATTTGGCTAACTAGAGTTTCGGCACTATAGTTGATAACAGTTCATGATGAATATAATTCTAACCCTAACGTTCAACTGTAAATCCTAATCCTAGTTCTTCGCACTGGTATATAACACTCATTAACTACTAGTAAGTATATGGACATTTTCAAGGTTATTTTGGCGTTGCTCAAAGGTCGTATATAAATTATACACTTAATACATATAACACAGTTTATTAACATTCTCCTTCACAAACATAATTTATGAATTATGTACACAGGTTTTATCTTTTTTATTCTTTCTCTATAACGTAAAATTATTATTCTTCTAAATATGATAAAATCTGTCTGAGTATTGTGAATATTATATCGAAAATATTAGTGCTCTTGCGTACTACTGCATTCCCAATGAGACTCGAAGACACGGAAAAAGTCAGACCCTTACAAGTCTGCCCGCCGTTCCGTTTAAGCGATCTTGAACGACTTCACAAGGGGCGGTCACTCCGTATTTCAAATGCTGTGGGTTTGTTAGGAGTCCGTTAGGTTGCACGAGTGAAAGGTGTTCTCATATTTAATTGGTCTTTTGCTGCAGCAAAACCACAAAATCATCGCGAAGAACATTGATTTAGCTCTCTCTATCTTGTAATGCACACGTCGAACCGATGTTGCTGCGTAACTCTCCATGCTCCCCAATTTGTGGAACATTTTGTCGGATTTACGTAAATTTTGGAGATAATTTTGGTCAGGTGTGTCCTGTTCTGTTTACGTGGAAGCGAAATGTTCTGCGAGCAGATGTAACCTGAATCGTGGAAAAATTCAGACATGCCGGTGTCGTTGCCGTCGTTTGCTTATACATAAGAAGACGAACTCTTCCAGGCAAGCCCGATCGATTACGAAATATAAGGTGTATAGTTCATCATATTCTTAGACTTTGCAGTCGGTGGAAGACAGACAACACTGACATCTTCCATAATAAGAACAATTTTAAAATCCAGACGAAGCAAACAGTATGTACAGATGGTTTCCTTTTGAAACTTATTTATGAATAAGTTACCATTAAATAACAGTAGTAATCAGTTTAAACAACGTGAAGGCATTGACAGAAATCTTTATACTAATCCATATAATCAGATTTTTTGACGATCAACCACAAGTACGCTTAAAGAAACTCGGTTTCTACCTTTTTCGTTTTATTGTTGCGCTGAAAGTCGATTAAAACATATTTACCACGTATTGTTTAATAGCAGCAACACTATACGATATTCCACGTACTCCTTATAAAAAACGTCAGTGTGATGGGTTACTTTGACGCAATTATATCTTGGTCCACTCAGGCTAAGAAACAATATCACGACATTAGGGAAATGGGTGGTTAACAGTAAGATCAAATTTGTCCTGTTAAGATGTCTTTTGATTAAGATTAAGAGCCACGTGACAAAAACAACTTATATCCTTGGCGAAAATGCTCTCGCAACTATCTCTAAACAAATCAATCTGGGATTGCCAGCCGTAGGTTATTTGGAAACCGATTAAAACTACACAGAAGACGCAGCCAACACAAACGGAGCTCTTCCCGTTATACAATGTTCCTTGCTAACACCTTACAATCCCTTTCGATTGATGAGAAGTACCTGATGAATATCTCACTACCTGTCTACTATTACTATTATTACTATCACATGCCATCAGCCAAACTGCCAACTCGTTTCCCATTATATATGGTTACCAGTTATTCTAAAGCTTTTGTTTATTCACAATGTTAACGCATTTAATTCATTATTGATTGATTTTTCTCCGTTCTTCTGACCATCGCCTCTCGTTTGAACGCGTAAAATGGAAAATTTGCTTATTGTTTTTCACTTCGCTACCAAAAACCTGTTGCCTTATACTGTAGGAGCTTCTGTCCTCTGAAAAATTATAAACATAAAACAAACACACTTGTTAAAATTAAAAGATGCACAAACCCTCAACTAGTCACGTTGAATGAATAAACTGTCGATTAATGACCACTTCTCAGACGTAAAAGTCGTACCATAACTACTAGGAGTGAGTTCGAAAACTTTCTTAGTTTGCCCTAGGTTATTACAAAGATTTTCAATATTGGATATTAGATTTGTACTTAGCGAAAATATGAAAGGCAGTTGGTCCGGTCTATAATCAAGCAGCCGAAGAGATTTCTTGGTAGGCCGTAGGCAGAAAGTAAAGATGAATTTCAAATAATCCTCTTGGAAACCAGTACTCAGTGGAGTACCTCAAGACTCTGTCCTAGGTACTTTACTTTCTGTACTACATGTAAAAATAAATTCTGGAGTGTAACTGAGTCCAAGACTTTACTATACGCCGATGATGTTAACATTTGGCGGGAAATAACTTCAGGAGTTCGGGTGAACTTGTACTTTCTGATTAGCTGATCTAGAAGTGGCTAACGCCTATCAATGTGGCCAAGTGTGTCCGTGTGTACATTGTAGATACAATGGTAAATAGGTACACCGCAGGTCAGGAGTCATTTTCCATAGTCCGGTCTGAGAACGATGTTGATGTGATATTGAGTCATGTTCTCAATACTACGGGCCACTGCTGCGAGGTAACAACTAAAGAATCTAAAATATTTCGGGCTTTAAGATGGAAATTAACCGAGTTAAATGTTATTATTTTCACAACAACATACCTAACCTAGTAAGATTCAAAAACTGAAAACATCGTTTAGGCTGCAGGCCTGTAGTATCTGTAGTATACAATCATCAATCCCTGAAACTGTAACACGAAGTTGTGTCAGCCGTTCAAACGAATCACTAAAAAGAAGACTATACGATCTTAGAAGCCTACTATGAAGATACTTACACACATAAAAGGCCTTCTGCCCTCAATTTGAAATTTTGAATATATCAATCTGTGTGTTTACTTGTTGTTTCTCTTCAAGGTTGTTGGAGCGGGGAGGTGAGTTTGATCTTCAGATTTGATTCAGATTTGTGTAGTAAGGACAGAAGGCCTACGGCCTGTGTTATTCCTTTTCTAGTATGCTTCTGTGAGTGTCCAGTCCTCTCTTAAAAGAGTCAATTGAAGGTGCGGACACCACTGCTTCAGGCAGCAGGTTCCAAGTATTGATGACTCGGTGTGAAAACCTGTATGCCACGGGTATTTTGTTCGTTCTTGGCTTTTCTACTAGCCTGCTACGTCCTCTGAGGTGTCCCGATCTAGGGGGAAGAAAGAGAGAGAATAAGATAGGTCCGAAATCATTTCTCAGTATTCTGCACATCAAGATTAGATCTCCCCTTAGTCTGCAATACGATAGGTTGCTGAATGCAACCGGGTTACATCATCATACATGGCGTTGTTAATAAGTTCTGTTTTTCTTTCTATTGCAGGGTAACCAAGAATAAATGCTTTAGAAGAAGAAGAAGAGCAAGCTCTGCATGCACTGAACCTACAGGATGACTCCTAAGACTGTTTTGTAAACTAGCTCTCCGTTCTGTACATAACCCGTCTAAATTAATTTAGACGAACCCCCTGTGATTCCAATGAAGGCTGCACCTGGTTCAACCCCTCCCCAACCACCACTGCCTGAAACTTCGTCAGATTACTCCGTCTGGAAATTTAAAGTCACAGCGTATCTACAGAGTCCCAATGGCCGAACATTTCAACTACCTCGTATCCTATTTGAGTGATGAAGCAGTACGAAGGGCTACAGCCGATGGTTTCGCGGCAAGTAACACGCTTCCACAAAACTGGAGAATCTTAGATGACAGTTTTTCCGTGCCCGTGGACACCCAACAGGTGACGATCCAGTTCTTATCACGTCACCAAAAAGCAAGCGAGAACCCAATCGACTACCTTAATTCCTTGCAGCAAATCGCGGTACTGGCATTCCCTCGTTTAGATGTCATGAGACGAGAGGAATTAATACGCTCACGTTTTGTGGAAGGGCTGGTGCCGGGTCCACCAAGAGAACATTTTCTTCGAAGCCCACCAGTTGATACACCTGACTTAAGAAGAACAACACTACGTTTCCTGGCTGCGGACAAACTAGCGAATTTATCAGATGCACATCCACCATCAGTGATGGCTGTGGAACGACCCACAGGATTTAGTGGCCTGGACAGTTTCCAGAGGACAATGGCTGTTACCGACTTTTCCAGCCGGGGGCAGCCAAGTTCGAGATGGAATAGACAACCAGCATAGAACAACTACCATAGACGTCAAGCCGAATGTATATATATTACAAGTGGTTTGGCAGGAATGCCAGGAGATGCGGCCACAACCGTTCCTGTAAGCCAGGTAAGCGGCGTCTGCTATTTATCTTATGTTAATCATGTCAACCCGATTACGTCTGGGGGTAGAGTGCAAAACGTTGAGATAGAAATACTACTAGACACGGGAGCTTCAGTATCTCTTATCAAGGAAGAGCTCTTGAGGAAAATTAACCATAAAACTCAACAAACTCGATATCTTCCTACGTTACTCACAGCAAGTGGTGATCCGCTGAAAGTGTGTTCTAAGGCGTGGTTAGACCTCACAATAGAAAGACAGTTGTCCTCTGGAAACTGTCCAGGCCACTAAATCCTGTGGGTCGTTCCACAGCCATCACTGATGGTGGATGTGCATCTGATAAATTCGCTAGTTTGTCCGCAGCCAGGAAACGTAGTGTTGTTCTTCTTAAGTCAGGTGTATCAACTGGTGGGCTTCGAAGAAAATGTTCTCTTGGTGGACCCGGCACCAGCCCTTCCACAAAACGTGAGCGTATTAATTCCTCTCGTCTCATGACATCTAAACGAGGGAATGCCAGTACCGCGATTTGCTGCAAGGAATTAAGGTAGTCGATTGGGTTCTCGCTTGCTTTTTGGTGACGTGATAAGAACTGGATCGTCACCTGTTGGGTGTCCACGGGCACGGAAAAACTGTCATCTAAGATTCTCCAGTTTTGTGGAAGCGTGTTACTTGCCGCGAAACCATCGGCTGTAGCCCTTCGTACTGCTTCATCACTCAAATAGGATACGAGGTAGTTGAAATGTTCGGCCATTGGGACTCTGTAGATACGCTGTGACTTTAAATTTCCAGACGGAGTAATCTGACGAAGTTTCAGGCAGTGGTGGTTGGGGAGGGGTTGAACCAGGTGCAGCCTTCATTGGAATCACAGGGGGTTCGTCTAAATTAATTTAGACGGGTTATGTACAGAACGGAGAGCTAGTTTACAAAACAGTCTTAGGAGTCATCCTGTAGGTTCAGTGCATGCAGAGCTTGCTCTTCTTCTTCTTCTAAAGCATTTATTCTTGGTTACCCTGCAATTGAAAGAGAAACAGAATGTATTAACAACATCGTGCGTGATGATTTTAACCGCGTTACAATTTTATTGACACAAGACTGAATAGTTCGGTCTGTTTGCATCGGTGATGAAATAGACAATTGGTCGGTAGTTTTTGACCTTTTGTAAATGAACTTATTAAGCCAAGTAGGATTTGGGAAATAATTTTCCATAACGAATTACTTATGTAACTTTATGAAACCCAGTACTTTTCAGAAAACAGTGTAGCGTTGGAAGAGGTTATCTTTGCTTTATCAAGTAGTTAATTGCATGTGGAAGGTCGTATGCCCTAAGAGTTATTAATGTGTGTTCCATCTTTGTTAACTTCAATCCACCTGTTAAACCTCCATATCATATCGCCGTTTAGTATAAGCAACGTCTTATGCAAGGATAGTTCACTTATGCAAATAAACAACTTCCTAATTATTCCTAATCAAATAGGGCAGGACACCTCTAAGCTATTCAGCTGTAAATAATGCAGAGTGGAGTAGGTAAGCGTGTCTACTATTTCACTTATAATTAAGATACCAATTGGCTTATAACGCAACAATGTCGTTATTTGAGTGACAGTGGAAGTGTAGGCATGTTGTTAGAATACAACCGAAAGAACAGTTAAGTTTTACCCCAGTAGTTTGATAAGGCAAACTTTTGAATCATGATTCATTCACCAGGGATTTCTTACCTTAGCAACTGCAAATCATTGTAAGTAATAAGAATAAAAGTTTTCCTTTTGTGAACGAATTCGCGTTCTATATTGGTTTATCCTTTCTTATCCAGTCGTTGATGTGTAGTCATAATTATGATGAAACTTTGTAATAAATTTACTTTACAGAGTGTATTACATGGAACTTATCTAGAAAACCGTCAAGATTTCTCTCCAACTGATGCTGATTGGCCAGTGAACACCAAACAGGAATTTTGATTTGGAAAAGTCTACACATTCAACATTTCGGCGTATCTGTTAAACCAAACTTTCTATGGCTTTACTTATCGCCGGCATAGAAGGGTAAGTATGTAATTGTTTCGTGTTCTCTAAATCTTATGTAAAACATGTCTCTTGAATGTGGATGTTTCTAACTTGCGCATATGTATCTTTCCCTTTGTACTAACATTTGTGTTCAAATAAATAAATAACTTGCTTACTGAATCCTTAGGTTTGTGAAAAAATCACAACCCCCACGGGTTGCAATAGAATTCTTTGGACGTTTCTTGCTTGATATTGTTTTCATAGGGTCAGTTGCACAATAAAATAGTAAAATGTCATAGGTTACTTTCTACTGACGTTCCATCTCTCTTTTTTTGGTAACACTGAACTTAAAATCGCTAACTTACTTAGGCTGCGTTACTTTTGCATTCAGAAAAGTTCAGAATTACATGAGCTGGGCAATCAGATAATATCATTGCACTTCACTAAGTAGATTTTCCTTATGATTTAATGCAGAAATACGAACATGGTTACAATATACTCTAAATATATATTGTAATCTTTTATACTATTAGTACCACCTTAGATGAATGTGTATGCAGCAAATGGCTTTTGGGTATATAAGTACAACCTTTCCAACTAAATATTACACTTGACTGTAATAGCGCATAATAAGGGATGCAACTAAGCTTGACTAATAATAATAAATGTAGATTTACAAGAATAACAAGGCATTACTCTGGGAAGTGCGGCATTGTAGCGCGCTGGATTGGATTTTGAGAAAAGCTGAAAAGGTCTTTCATTTTGCAATTATCAACCTCCGTCTGATGAATTCAAATCCTATTATGAATAGAATAACTCCGAAACTGTGATTCACAGCTTTGGACAGGTTTACTACAATGATACGGATTCAAAAATTAATCTCCATGCTTTTAGCACTTCAGCTATTGATTGTTAGTGGGTCCGAAATTGATCATTGAAGTTATTATCAGTCATTTCTGTGAACTTAGGTGTAGGTGGAATAAACACGACTAGTGAGTACTTTTTTTACGGTTTCTGAATGTATATCTGCATTCGTGCGCATTGTAAAACCCTAAGTAACCTCACCAAAGGTCTTTAATCACACTACTGGCGGAAAACCTCAGTTAAATGGTTAGTTAAACCAAACAGCTATTTATTTAAAATCTCATTCTCAGTCGTCAAATGGGAAGAACATTTCTGGTATATACGCATAAAGGAATAAGTAGTCATGTATAGTGAAGTCCTCAAACCAGAGAATTAATGAGTGCATATTTAATACTAGTTTATATGTGAATTTTTAAAGATCTTGTTTCTAGGTTATTAAACACTCCTATAACACCTTTTAACAATAAAACGTTTGTATGCTTTATTGAAAGGTTTAAAATTTCCACACTTGTTCACTCCATTTAGTCAAAAATCGTTTTATATTTATCTTTTTTTTCTGTGCTATAATATATCAATCTGAACTTACATACTATTTCACAATGTTTTATGCTATCTTAATGTGGTGATCCATTTACTATTCTGTACTGTGCGTAGGGGTGCTACGATTTCTCGAATAGTTTTACTGGACTCCTCAGGAAATCAATTAGGTTATGTTGAAGGACCTCCTACAAATCCATGGGTAAGTTATTTCGTGATTCATACATGCATCCCTTTCTAACTAGCGTGCTTAAATTTTGTTTATTTATCCTTTCGCATCACAGATATTAAATTTTTCATCCTTGAACATACCTACACGTACACACAAATACACAGTTACACCTCGTATAGATCACCTTTGACCGGAATGATATGACACTGGCTTGACCAGACCTGTTTTCGATTGATCGCACCAAATGTTATTGCTTTGTTCCTTTGTACTATTTAAACTTAGGTTAATTTAATTTGTTTCTTTATTTTCTGAAGAAGTGGCTTACACTGAGTCACGAAACGTCAGGAAGTTTTAAAAAATTAGTTTTCTAGCTCATTGAGATACTACAAATATATTATTTTTATTTATATCTTAGTTTTGTTGAGGATGTATTATAGAAATTAGTTCCATTTTATCGATTTTATTCGTCCTAGATTAATTTCGTTCAACAGGCCATTAAAGGCTGTTGAGCTATTTCATCGTAGTATTAGACTCCTCAATACTGCGAAGCCCATCCTAGAAACTGAAACCAGGACTTTAAGATTTTGTGGTTAACACCTACTCATCCAAACTAGCTGATCAGTGTTCGATGGTGCGATTTTAGCTTCAATCAATGTGTGATATAACGTGACGGTCATCTAATCCTATTTCGTATAACTGTTTTACCCCTAATATACCTGAACTCCAGCAGTCATGGCTTCTCACTAGAACTTCATGAATGTATTGAAGTCATTAGTTGGTTGATTATTATAGTTTGGTTCAAACGGTTTTGTAGAGATTGCTTCCATTTGTAGGTTGTATTCGTTAGTTCTGAAAAATCCTCCACTAGGAATAAGCGACTGTAATATTAATCCCTGGGTTTTTTTATGATACTCCACTTGAGATTAGTCTATAACAAATATAACGTACAGAGAAAACTATATTAATTGTTCATATTCCGAAAAGTTCTGTTCTTTTTTTTTCTAAAATTATTAGCTACTAGGTTTAGAAGAAGCTGCTGAACGTATTTTGAACCTCGTTAAAGACGTACTAATCAATTCTAACCGACAATCAACAGAAACACTTGCCCATCTAGTAAGTATTTTTCAGAAAATGTTTTTTTACTCGATTTTCGTAATATAACCTTTATGTACCATTTTGTTAATGAGTCTGGATAAGTTGATTATGTAATTTAAAACTCATATAAATTCGAGTCAGCTTTTCAAGTAATTATGTTTTTGATGAATTATGATACTCTACTATCATAAGCGTTTGTTTATTTTCTTAATTTGGTGACTTTTCTACTTCTGATTTAAAAGTAACACCAGTTGTTTCGTTAAACGCCTCATGCTTGGAGAGATATGATACATGTCCGTAAATTTGTAACTTATCCACTTTTCATTGTTTAATATGTGTACGATATCAAGCATTTCTAGGTATTTTCTTGTCCATTTAGTGGGTGGTTTCTGTATGTCAGAGTATAATTTTGACTGAGGATTTTGTTTCAAGCTATATTTTTCTTTTTATTTGCTTATTTCATCATCCAATTTGGGATGAGCTGCAGTGTCATATTCATAGGAGACCTCTGTGGATAGCTTTAGATGACAAATGAAATCCTTATTGAAAATCATTCTGTTATATGCAGCTTTCACCTGCTAGATGAACGTAAAAGTGCTCAAAGATGTTAGATATTGTTCTTCCATTGAACATTAAGAAAGTATGGTTAGATTCACATATTTGAGCACAGTTGAAAGTTCTTGGCACAACGATTCGGAATAATATATTTGTTTACATAAATTGAAGAAATCAAACTTAGTATTTAGAATCAATGAGAATGTGCATGTTAGATCAATATCGATGTATGATCAACTTCCCAGCGTATTTTCGTTTGATTTTCAATACATTTTTACTGTGATTTATGTATAGTAATATTTGCTCAGTTCATAAATTTTGATCATTGTAATTGATTCATAATTGATAATTTCTAATTCTACTAAGGTCATCATTAATAACGCTTCTATTATATGACTGAACTTCTCACTGTAGTTAGAGAAAGGGTATTGGAGAAGAGAATGGAAGTAGTCTCGTTCATTGTATTGAAGTCAGAGTTGCGAAATATTAGTGTGTAACACATGAATATATCAGATGGGTTTTGTGGATATTATAGTAATTTCAATGATTAAGATCATGAGTCAGTTGAAGCTAGACCACCATGGAAAACCTGGAAGCACTGGACGGACCACAATAGGACGAAACGGCTTCAACTGACACATGAATATATGACAAATACCTAGAGAAATGTTTCCCATAGTAGTTTGACAACTATTTATCATTATGGGGTTGTGCACCACTGGAGTAGCCTTGTTGATGATGACATATACACGTGTAGTTCAAAACAGAATAAGACAAAATAAGAATACACAAATATAAAAATTTTATCGATCATTAAGATGCAAAAATCACGTACTGTTCATCAATGAGATTAGCGAAACGTTTCTTTTGTTGTTTTTATTCCAATATAAATAAACGGTTGTCATGTTTCTTTTTATTATAAATATTTTTGTTTATAAATGAACTATCATTAGTACAAAAGGCATGTGACATTATGTTGGGGATGTCAGATCCCAAGAATTCACTTTATAAACATTTTGTTTTCGTAATTTTATTCTGTAAATTTGAATTTTTTGTTTTCGCGCCAAAGGAGCCCACTTTTACCTTCAGATTGTATTTCCCTCTTAGAAGAACCCTTAATGTCAGCGGTTCGTTATATCTTTCAATAGGCTATTTTGTGACGTTTCCCAAGGACATTTTTATGCTGTATATATACGCTTGAGTTGTGCTTGTTGTTGTTCTTGCTTCTGGCTGCTTGTGGAATACACTCTCCCTTTCTGAACCTGAATTCCTCTCTTTAGTTGGCGGTCCTGGGACGCATCGGAATAGTTAGCTTATTTTGTTATTGTGTCACTGGGTCTTTGTTCCGCTCGCCGATTTAGGTGATCTCGTAATCTCTTCAAACATAGCACATTACTAGTAGTGTCCTGAAAATTCTTTTCTAATCTAAAACCAAAATTAACACATTGATATTTTTGATTTAGATCATGAATCGATTGATGTTAGACCGCCATTGAAAACCTGGAAGCACTGAACGGCCGTTTCGTCCCATTGTGGGGCTCCTCAGCATTGCGCGTCCTCGATTCCGCTCGCAGGATCCGAACCCAGGGCCTTCATTCTCGCGCGCGAATGCTTAACTTGCTGGACCACCGAGCCGGCATCCAATGGTGTTAATGTCTAACCTCAACCAATCCACGAAGTTGCGCAACCATCTTCCATTGTACTGAGGTAGATACCTGTCTCTACCCGACACGGGTTAGCTCCACTGGTCACGGCTGCTTTTTATTATCTATGAGCTCAACAGGTTGGTTGTGAAGCTTTCATTGTTCCTCTGAACGACATCATCGGCACGTAATTCAAAAAGAAGTGAGCTATTAGAATCTCTCAACAGTTGATTAACAAATTGTTCTTTCGATCTGAAATTTGATTGATTGTTATTAAAAGTTGCGTGGCTGTTGTTTTTATGTTTATTTTGATCCACTAACCTGAACTCGAATCTTGTGGTTGTTAATTATTTTTTTTTGGTTGATAGATGTAGTCGATTTCGATTTGCTTATTGATTGATGCTTGATTAAAGTATCAGGCTTCCAAGAGTTTTCTGGCTTTATTTGTATTTCTTTACTCCAAACGGAAGTCTGTTATATCGAAACAACCTTTCATACGTGTTTATTTTCATGTAATGCTTGCATTCTTCATTTACTGGAATCTGTAGATAAGCTTCTGATAAATCCAGTTTTGCAAAATATTCCCCCCATTCAGTTTCGCAAATAAGTCTTCTGGTAACGCAAAGAGTACTAATGGACTTCAAGTGCTTCGTTTAATCCAGTCGAATAATCTGCACATAGCCGGATACTTCCATAAGGCTTCTTAGCAATCACTATTGGTGCTGCCCAATCAGAAAAATTCACTTGTTCTATGATTCCACTTCTTTGCATGCTCTCTAATTCTTGTTCAACAATAGGTAGCGCTGCATAAGGTACCGGACGTTTTAGTCTGAACATGGGGGTGACTCCCGGTTTAAGAATTAGTAGTGCTTTTACCTTTTTGCATTCCTCCCACTCTTCCGTGAACACTTAACTATGTCTTTCCAACACAACACTCCTCAGACTCCTTTCCGCTGGTTTGTTGGTTCTCACGCAGCCGCATATGTGGTTAATGGAGTGGTTTACTAGCTCTAGTGTTTCCATTAGGTCTAGTCCCAGCAAGTCTAGTCCTGGATTCTCTGTGAGATATAATGTTGCATTCGTCCTCGCGTTTGTTTTTGAAACTACATCAAACCTCTCAACAAATATTTAGTTTCCCTCCAGATGCACTATGAGCTAACTGGGTTGTTGAGAGCACCTGAGGTTTTCCAATATGCTTCCAGGTCTTTCACCTGATAAGTGTGATATCGGAAGCAGTATCGAGCCTCAGGCGGGCACGGTGACTGTCAGCCTCGATAGTTATATATTTCGATTGGCTATGTCCTGATCGTGCATGTGCTACCACTATTTGGTTGGTTGATGCATGGGGTTTATGTCGCCTGGAATGAAATCGCGATGGACGACGACACATCTTTTTACAGTAGGATTCTTTATGTCCTTTTCGCTGACACTTAGTACAACGGTAGCTTTTATATCGCGGCACTGAGTTTATGTCATCTTTTAAACGGTTTTGTAATGAAAACGGCTTATCGCATCTACAGTCACCTCCGTACGATCCTCAGTCGAACGGCCGAAACTGGACAGACCTTGGCAAAGAATACACGCTCATTTCGTCGGTTCAATACAAGTCAGAAATTAATTGGTTGCTGTCGACGCTTTCACAAAATGGCCAGAAGTATATGACATGCCGAAAACGATATCAGAGAGTACAATAAGAAGATTGTCAGCATCGTTTGCTTGTTTTGGAGGTTAATAAACCTTCACTTATACCAGTCTTCGTGTGTTTACTTTTGCGTCATGGGAATTGCAGAGGTCCGTCGTTTCGAGTATAAGTAATAAGCGTTTCCAACACAACAATCAGCGACCATATATAACAAGTAGCGTTCAATCAACAAGACATATCATTCGTCTGTCCAATAATTCAACTTTTCCTTGCTGAACCTACGTGCACATGCATCAATCTAGCTCAGAGTTTACACTGACTCCAACATCATTGTGAGCCACAAGTGTCCTCTATCCAATTTGATATTTTGATGCAGTAAGTGAGTGTCTTGTAACTCACAAAAGAGACCAACATTTAATGCTTTTCAATAACTCTGTTTCAAAACAACGATCCAACAAGAATTTATTGGTATATGTTATGGTGTGATTTCCCTTGCATATATTTTATTGAAGGCATTTTTTAGTGGAAGACGTCAAGTTAAGCAATAGAAAGAAATCTTGTGATGTGGAAACAAGTAAAGTCTTTATATGTTTAGTACACTGCAATCCACCATTATTCAGCACTGCACTGGTGTGTCCAACAATAAAAGATTGTAGAAAAAAACACAAAGAAACATAGAAGTATATTCGTCTAGGAAAACTATCAAATTGAAGATTGTAGAAAGTTCTATATATCCTTTCCATGTGTTATCAGAGGAATTGCCATAAGATAGAAGTTTTTAAGCTTAAATTTAATTCAGTCGATTGCGTAACTTATCAAATATTTAGACCCTCGAAGACGACCAGAAGCATCAGTCTCTTTGTATTTTACTGATTTTTCCCCATCCTTAATATCTGAAGGTAAGAAAAAGCAAGTGATCAAATCTAATAAAAAAAGGTTCCGAATATCTCATGACTACTATATTTTTTAAAAGTGTCAGGTCTACACCGTCCCTTTCACACATTAATACTTCTCTTAGGTGTAGAAAATTGAGTAAATGAGTATTGGCGGGGGTAGGGTTGGAATTGAATGTTTCCAAATATTTACTATATTTACATGTTTTACTTGATACATTATTTTTCAGGGTTTGTCATTGAGTGGTGCCGATACTGAAGCAAACCAAAATGAACTAGTGAATGCTATCAAGAAACACTGTCCAAATATTGCACAAGAAATTCACATATGTAATGACAGTATTGGTACCTATTTAACGGTATGTGATAAAGGTTAGTTGTTTCAATCCTTTTTCCAAGTTATTGATTGAAAGGCTTTTATTATCACTTGCGATTCGACCAATTCATTGGGTCCCGTTACATGATCGATTGAAGGATGTGATCCATTTATCACAGGGATTAGTAGCAGCCTGAATTATTTTGGTAGTAAAATCTCTGTATGATACCTCAAGGACTTTAGATTTTCGAACCAGCTTAAGTATTGTCAAAATTACGAATATATCTTGCCAGTGAATCCTAACAGGCAAGAAATGGTCATTTAGGGTAGTCATAAATTTATTCGAATAAAATTTACTACAATTTTTATGGTAATATGCTTCATGACTTATATCAGCTTATTTCGCTTACGGTACAATGTATTATAACTACGTCTTTGATTCAAGCAACCAATTTGCGTAAGTGCATAATACCTAATACTCTTCAAGCACTGTATGGCCGTTTCATCCTTACTGCGGGACTTCTTATTAATGAGCATTCGCGACCTCGTACTCAGAAATCGAACCCAGGACCTGTCCCGCGTGTGAACGCCTAATCCCTAAATTATTGAGTTGGGATCCAAAGGTGTTAATGTTCAAGTTCAATCAATCCATGAAATAATGCGATTAACTTTCATTATCTTCGGTGGGAAACTGCCTCACACCCAACATGTTTAGCTCCTTTAGTCATAGTTTCTCACTATAATCCCGGGAAGTTTGCTCTCGAAGCTAATCACTAGTGAGCACACGATATTTTCATTATAATTCATATTAAATTTGTCACATTTACCTTATATCTTTTATATATAGCCGCAATAGTATTAATTTCTGGAACTGGATCAATATGTTGTTATGTACGAGAAAATCTAACATTTCAACGTATCGGCGGTTATGGACATTTACTAGGTGAAAGCGGTTCAGGTAAGACTTTCGTTGTCTTTTCTAATGTTGTTGACTATTGCCCTAAAAAATTCACCCAAAAAGTAAACAAATAAACTAGGATTCTATTTTTTTATTTGAGAGTCGGAAATTTCTCCTAAATTAAAACAGTAGTGGTAGTCTCATTCAACTTGTTTTTCTACATGTGATTATAAAGTTATACATTAAGTTGAAAGAAGTGTAGATTACTGATTTAGTGACATTACGCGTTTATCATTTCTTCAAGGAACCTTCTGTTCACTGATTTAGTTGGAGAACTTCGACTAAAGTGAACCTTTGGCACTCAAAACATGGCCGTGAATATGAAAGATTCATATACTGTTTATCCTCTTCTTTCTGTAGCTCTAGCTTTAACTAAACCGAATAATATTTACAATCAGCTACTGACTTCTCAGATTTGTACAAGAATGCCCCTCCGTGTGTAGCAGTTTTCTGAATTGGGATCAATATCTAGTATACAGTAAACCCCTGCGTTTTACTAGACAAATATCTCATATCGCAAATGAATTGATGTAAGTTAATTGACTTCACTTACTATCTCGTCCGACTATGGAACCAAGCTAGGTTCTAGGTTAACTGTCAGTTCACCAAGAATGGTTGATGAGCATTGGCTTTATTTATAAGACACCATGGAAATGAAAAGTAAATTAGCTTGTGGCTTCGCAAAACATTGAACTCATGAACACTAGGTTATTTTAGACCCCCAAAAATGTGACGCGGATCAGTTTACTCGGGTGGAACTCCAGTATGATAATACATATAAATACCTCGTCCTTGAAACTGCACAAATCTAAACCTGGTGGTCAAAGCGTTAAAAGTAACATCTCGATCTGATGACTACCAGAACCTGTTCCAACTCATCCAAGCCATTAATAACAAAAATGGCTGTTAAACTTCAGAGCGCCCCCCGACCGTTGTTGCTACCTTGACGTGGTGGTCGGGCTTGCCTATCGTGATGAAGCAACCGAGCTATACTGGCTGGAACAATCGTTCCTCAAGTTCCAACCATGTCAGACAGGTCGGTTGAAGAGCGGTAAGACTAAAAGCAACAAACCCAAGGTCCGAAGACGAAGTCGTACTACTGACTGTACAGAGGTGTGACAGCAGTAAGGTGTTTCCTTCAGACAACCAGCATGACAGCGATGCTGCCTTCCCACAAGGAGGGGTGGGGTTAGAAAAGGTCGACCCTAAAAATGCACACCTCACCTTATCCCACGGATATCCGTCTCCGGCGGTAAGGTCTCAACAAGTACGGAACTAACACAAAAATCACCCATAAAAAGGTAGTGTGTGACCGACCTCAAGCAGTTGTCCCTTGGGCACTGCGGTCACGCTCCCAGGTCACTAAGACCACCTCTAATCCAATTTCCTTTTCAGGTACCTCCAGAAGAACCCTTCCACGGTGTGGGCAACCGGGAAGTGATAACCGCCCTCATACCTCTAACAGCACTCAAGACCACTGTATTCATAATTAACCTCCATCTTCAATTCCTATTATTCTTCCTACATCGACTTTCAACTCTAAATTTCCTCTTTCGGCTTCCTCCTCAAGTGTCACCATAGCCAACGATTCTAGTGCTCAAAACACTGTCCCAGGTCTACTGAAACCTCGTTCCACACTACACATTGGAGCCTTCAACGTACGAACCCTATGTCAAATCGGTCAGCAGGCTTCCTTGGTTAGAACCCTAGAGTCTCTTACCATTGATGTATGCTGTGTCTCCGAAACACGCATACAGGATTCCAGTGTGGTCATTCACTTGACCTCAGCTCGTCAAAACGGAGAGCCAACGAGATACACCATCCGTGTATCCGGTGACCCGATGGCCAGTTCTCGTGGACTGGCAGGTGTAGGCATAGCACTAAGCATGAGGGCCGAACAAGCACTGCTAGAGTGGATCCCCGTTAACAGTCGTTTATGTGCTGTTCGGCTAAACGGGTACGTAGAACTCGGAAGGATAGGGACACACGTCGTTGCCTTTTTGTCGTTTCTGCCTACGCTCCCACTGACTACAGCTCAGATGAAGTGAAAGATGAATTTTACAGAAAGCTGTCCGAACTTCTGCAGAAAGCTAAACACTCAGACATAGTACTCGTAGGGGGCGACTTTAATGCTCAGATAGGTCGTTTAAACCAAACAGAAAGGCATTTAGGTGGATATTTCAGTATTCCGGCACAGCGAACAGATAATGGTGATCATCTGCTGCAATTATGCTCAGACAATCGTTTATTTTTAGCAAACACAAATTTTAAGCGTAAGGAGAGACATCGTCTAACATGGCGACCCCCTACACAAAATCAACGGTGGACTCAAATAGACCATATTGCCATCAGTCATCGTTGGAGAGGGTCGGTACAAGATTGTCGCTCATTCTGGAGTACCTGCTTGGACTCCGACCATGCCCTAGTACGGGCACGCATCTGCTTGCGCCTCACTTGACGCAAAAAAGCCACATTAAAAAGACCCATTAGAACTGAGTTGAGTAGCGAAAAAACCAAAAGCAGGTTCCAGGAACAACTGAGGTCACACTTAGGTAGTTCTGAAAACGAGGCTGACCCAGATGTTGCTTGGAAAAATATACAAACAGCTGTGGAAACAGCAATGAAATCTATTAGTGACTTAAACCACAGAGTTACAAAGAACCAGTGGATTTCTTCAAAGTCTATCACACTGATGGATTCTCGCAAACTCGTCCCATCAGGTTCCGAACATGATGAAGAGCGACAACAAATCAGATCTAGGTTAAGAAAAAGTCTAAGAAACGACCGTGAGCAGTGGTGGGCAACGAAAGCAAAAGAGATGGAAAAGGCGGCGACTATAGGGAACACAAGACAGCTTTATAGACTAATAAAAGAAACTGGAATTAATAAGTCAAGCGTAAGTGAGATTATTTCGGAAAAAGACGATACTCTCATCTACTCCCAGTCCAGACGTTTAGAACGATGGGCGGAACACTTTAGGGAACAGTTCAACTGGCCTTCAGCTACTCTACAAGTACCCTCCATCCCCAGACAATGTGAATGGAACATTGAAGTAGATCCCCCAACTCTTGCTGAAGTTGAGAAGGCTATAGTTAATCTGAAACGAGGAAAGGCAGCTGGTCCAGATGGATTGTCTCCAGAAGTCTTTAAGGATGGTGGTCCAATTTTAGCGATTAGGTTGACTAATATTTTAGCTAAGATCTGGGAGTCAGACGTTATTCCATCTGACTGGTCACAATCACTTATCGTCCCAATATATAAGAAAGGGTCAAAATCATCTTGTGACAACCACAGAGGGATTAGTTTAACTAATATAGTATCTAAAATACTAGCCTCGATAATTATCAGACGCCTAACTAAGACTCGTGAACTGCAAACACGAGAGAACCAAGCTGGCTTTAGACCTGGTCGTGGCTGCATCGACCACATATTCACCATTCGTCAGATTCTAGAACATAGGCATACTTATCGGCGTCCGACAATGGTGGTCTTTCTTGACTTAAAAGCAGCGTTTGACCCTGTAGACCCCGAGATTCTGTGGCAGTGTCTGTCATTGAAAGGCGTACCTCAGAAGTACATAAACCTTATAAAGGCTCTTTACTCGAAAACTACTAGTCGAGTCAGAGCTTATGGCGAACTGTCATCTAATTTTGCAACCTCAAGTGGTGTCCGTCAAGGCTGTCCACTTTCCCCATTTTTGTTTAACTTCATCATAGACCTATTGATAGAAATAACATTCTCGTCGACTGAATTCTCGGGTATTGATCTCCTACCAGGAGGTCCACTTATCGACTTAGAATACGCAGATGACATAGTCCTGTTTAGTGAAGACGCTGATAAAATGCAGAGTCTTCTGGTAGCACTAAGCAACAATGCCAGAATGTTTGGAATGCGCTTCTCTCCCTCTAAATGCAAGTTGTTGCTTCAGAACTGGTCTGCGTCAACACCTGAACTAAGGATAGGGAGTGAAGTAGTCGAACGCGTCGACAACTTCACTTATCTTGGAAGTCTGATCAGCCCTAATGGGTTGGTGTCGGACGAAATCTCAGCACGGATTCGAAAAGCTCGTTTGGCTTTTGCCAACTTACGTCACCTTTGGCGAAGGCGAGATATCCGTCTATCAATAAAAGGACGAGTATACTGCGCGGTAGTCCGTTCTGTTTTAATTTATGGCTGCGAAACATGGCCTTTAAGAGAAGACACTCGTAAGCTACTAGTATTTGACCACAGATGCCTTAGAAATATTGCTGGCGTCTGCTGGGATCACCGGGTAAGTAATAGTGAGGTTAGACACAAGGTATTAGGAAATGATGGTAAATCAGTTGACGATTTTGTTAATCTTCATCGACTGAGATGGTTGGGCCACGTGTTACGTATGCCTGAACACCGATTACCACGACGTGCAATGCTATCCGGTATTGGAAATGGTTGGAAGAAAGTTAGGGGCGGCCAAACCAAAACGTGGCATCAGCGCTTGAAGTCACTAACTTCTAGTCTGAGCCATGTTGGTAGATGCAGACTACTTGGTTGGGGTCCGCGTGACTATCGTAACCAATGGTTGGAGACTCTTGGTGACATGGCTCAGAATCGGTCACAATGGCGTCGGTGTATACACTCTCTATCTTCTCTTAAACTAAGAGATTAAAATCGCTTCTTTCTTTCTACGAACTAATTCTTTCTTCCTGTACTATATCCTTATTGCAATCTTTCTTTTATATATTACCACCTCTGAATTAACCACTTATATGAATCCTGTGTCCATCTTGTGTTAATGAGGTATGGGAACTTGGACCGATGCATATATGTGCCTGGTCCTACGTTGTGGCTGACTGACTGACTTAAGAGCGCCCAATAATTATTCGAGAAGGCACATCGAATTTTCCTACATATATCGAACTAATTTACTTAATATTGTCGAATTAGAGTCTAGGGAAAATTATAGTTAAAACAAGTAAAGCTTGGTCGTTAATGCATAATTTGCATGTGAATTTTAAATCGGTATAATCATCACAGAGACAGGAAATTTAATTAGTCATAGAAACCAGTTGGGACATATATAGTGAACAGTAATGAATGGTGTGAAATAATGAATAATTTAGGTCACCGATCATACTTTTCGATCTGTGTGTATGCATATAAAACTAAACTACTCCAACGTCGTATTGAATCTAAGTGGTAGTTCTATTTCTGAAGCATTACAGTTCGCCAGGTTCGAACGACTTTCCCCTAGATACTTTCAAGGTTGAAGCCAAGCCACTAAACCGAATAAATCGTTTAAAGAGTCTTGATAAGCATGATATAATCTCATCTAACTAATAAAGGTACTTGGGACTATTCTGATTCGAAGTTAGGAAACATAGGAATTTACTCTACTTGTCAATCATGTGAAAAATTTAATAGCAGAATTCATGAGTTTTCATTTATGCGGTAGGTGGAATATAACATCAGAGCATTGACAAACTTCAATAAGTCCTTTGTTAATATCATTAGATTGCGAACTGATGTAAATTTCTGGGAAGAATTTCACGCAAATGAAAACGTAATCCAATAATTTGAGACAATTTTAATGATACCGTTCTGTGTAAAAATTGTACTCAAAACTTCATTCAATTATTATTTTTCCCCCTACCCCTCCTCTCTCTATTATATTAGGTTATTGGATTGCACAGCGAATGATAAAAAAACTCATCTCATCAGATGACAAAATCATAGATACTACTTATAACTTGGATAATGTACGTAGAGTTATTTATGCCTATTTTAATGTAGAAAACAATCTAGAATTACTTCAACATTTCTACACTAATTTTAGTAAAAATAAAATTGCTGGACTATGTGAACATTTTTCTCAAAGTAAGTGACTTGTCTGTGTTTTTGATGTGTAAAATTATACTCTCACAGAACAATGACTTTTAAGATTATGACACTTTTAGCCAATCAGAAGACAGCCATACTAGAACATTAGAATACAAATTTCAGAATGGTTGTATTTCAGTCAATCTCAGTTCAAGATGAACACCCTGATCCTAACTCCAGATCCTATTTTTATGTAAATGCATCATGATCTTAAAACAATATCACAACTTGGCCCTTATAACTTGAGTAAGAATATGCGATTTTGTTTGAGCATGGTAAGACGGATGATGATAGTATATATCATTTATAATGAAAATGTAGCGATCCAAAATAGCTTCATAAGGTCCCACTATCCCTATATTATAGTTTCATTGTCCAAAACCTCACGTAAAAATCATTACACGCAAACCACCTCTTTGTATACAAGTTAGACAAATGTAATATGTATTTGGAATCTATAATGTCATCACCACGCCTCTTTTATGTTGTTATAAGCTCCCGTGTGAGTTAACTATTGAGATTTTTAGTCAACTTTATGAACAGTAACGTCGTCATTCAGTTTATGCTTGTACAAGCTTAGATATTACTGATTACTGCTGTCATTTATGCAAAATATCTTAGTCGCTCAATAACTCAGTAAACCCACCTGATATATTGTCGGTCAAAGTAGGCTGTGATTAACCGATGAATAGAGATGGACATTCGGACGCAATAAATATGAAAAACTAATCTGATATGTTAAATCGATTTCTTTACTGTTTCCACTTTTATTCCACTCATTGATTGCTTTGGGTTATGTGTTAATAAACTCTTAGTCTTGACCGTTTTGTAGAATAATTGAGTCGAATGTATTACATAATAAAATATTTTAGTGATCTATTTCAGTCTTACCGATCTAATTGTCTACTATCTAGTGTAGGATTTCAGGGGCAAACCTGTCATTTTTCTTCTATAACAGCATCATATAGCTTCACAAGATTTTTATTCCATTTTGATGCTCCATATCTCAATATTGGTCTCTTTATATATATTAGTTGCGTTAACACATAAAACTGAGTACAGTAGATCTCGGCTTCAAGTTTCTTCATTCTACATCACAAAGAAGAAATTTGCATTCATTTGGATCACGACTATGTTAGCAAAGAAAGTCAAAGGCACACATGAGTAAGATGTTGAAAATTCAGTTGGATTGAAAATGATACTTGGTTACTTACGGTCGTACTCTAGTTTTCAGTGTCATTCTTCAACCAGTTAGTCTATAATCTCTTAAGTACTCTTAATAAGGTCAGTCAATAAAGTAACGGAATAATAAATAATATATTTGTAATATCGTGATGAGTAGGAAATTCATATCTTCTGACGTTTCGTGACTCAATGTAAGCCACGTCTTCAGAGAATAAATAACCAAATCAAAGTTAATCCAAGTTTAAATATAACGAAATAATGTTATATTTTAACTACGATACTTTTAACCTCTTCTCAACTTACTCCCATACTAGTCATCTTTTATCTAACATGTTTACCTGCTTCGGTTTGGGTGCCTGGGCAGTATCACAGCTCTCACACTGCTACTGGCATCATTGTTATTGTGTTGCGCATATGTATGTATTTGGTGTCCCCTTATACCAATGTTTATTTTTTCAAATAAATAAATGAATAAACATGTTTACACACCTTAATTCGCTTATTTCGCTAAACTTTCTTTAAATTCAACCACAAAATGAAGGTATTTCATTTTGTTACGGTACAGCAAAATTATTCAATGTACTTATAGAGATTCGCATGAATTCATGACTTTTATATGTTATGTTAGAGTTAAGAATTCTGCTCGGTTGTCTAAACAATAGTGCGTGATGGAACCGATTTCATACTGCTATTTATCCACTCGTTGAAATTATGACTAAACGTTTATCGTACATCGTTATCAAGTTCAAAGATTACTTTGACAGATATTTTGACCAATCTACTTATTATGTTTTAAATGTAATCAATATAGCGTGATATTATTTATCGATCTAAACAACTGCATCTTTTGTTTATAAGTTGTTTACCAAATGTTTCTTCTTTTCTCCCAGTTGCTCGAACTGGAGATCAATTGGCTAAAGATGTGTTTCATGACGCCGGTGTTCAGTTGGCTCAACATGTCAGAGCTGCCTTATATTACTATGTTATGGTAATTACATTTAATAATAAATGTACCATTTTTCATTCAGTAATATCAATCTTCATCGTAAATTTTATTTAGATTATAATTAAGTCGTGGATGAATTAAGGGAATTATGATTATGATTATTTCATAAAAATCTATTAGTTACTGTAAGACTTTCAATGTTTTATTCTTGGTCAATCTGATCAGTCATTTTGTGGTGTATACTACTAATATCGACAGATTTAAGTCGTATGTATCTTCATTCGAAAGTGAAATACATGGTAGCAGAAGTTTAAGAAGATCGAAGAAAAGAGAACAAGAACAGAGAATAATTGGCGTGAAAACGAATAAACAATGAAGTCTGAGACAATTGATGGAGAATTTGCAAATGAAGTATTTACTGTATGGTTCTTAGGTTTTGTTATGGGATTCTGTAATTTTGTATTCATATACGTTCGATTGTCCCCATTTTTGTTCTCATTCACTACGGTTTGATCATGCAATTCCGACTGAGCACTTTGTTAAAATATTGATCTCTCTAATTACACAATATTCATTGATATTCAGTTTTGTGTTTGAAATTCTTACGGTTGAATCACCCCTTCAAGTCCTTTCAGAATTTCATCACATTTATCAAGCCATCATAACAATGAGGACAGACTGGGTATGTTACGTTAGTATAAGGATTAATTCATGATCTCTAGATTACCAGTATGTTGTTTTTATTTTACCAATTGAGCTATAAAATCCAGCTCAAAACCCCTGTTTAAGATTTGTTTTAAATTGTCCTATATAAATAGATAGAATAATTCACCTAAGGTTTTTTAGTTCGATCCAAATGTGTTAAAGTAAATTGTTTCAGCTGAAGGATGTTGTGGAAATCGGTTTGATTTGTACTATGTATTCTTTACAAACTGATCTCAGTTAGGGTATCATAGTAAACCAAGAATCACTGCATAGCTGTTTTGTCTTAATATGGAACTGTTCATTAGTACACACTCACGACTTTACCAAAAACCAAATCTAGGACTTCCAAGTCTTTCGGGAAATGTTTGACGATTTTTTTTAAAGAAAAACTTTATGTAGACTTGGTGTTTCGTTTTGTTTTTCATTATCTGATTGTTATGATATTTATTTATCTCTCATCAAGTCATATTCTTTGGAATACGTATTTGAAAGTTGGTCGCGAAATTCATTGGGAATCATTATAAAGATCACACTTTTGAGATGGTGGAGAAGATTTGTTGCTAAGGTGGATAATTTTGATGGAGTTTTATCCTCTGAACTGAATGGTTTAGTCGTGGAGCTTTCATCGTTCTTCTGAACGACATCATAAGCACAAACTTCAGGTAGAAGTGAAGTACCTGAAGTTTGTGCTTATGATGTTGTTCAGAAGAACGATGAAAGCTCCACGACTAAACCATCTAGCTCAGAGAACAAAACTTCATCAAAAAAAGATCACACTGGTTATCTTAATTTATCATAATTAACCAAATGACCTTAAGATTAACAATGGTGATATAGATCACAATAAAACACGATATCTATTTTATGATAGATCAAACGGATTTTCTTTTTTAACTTGATTATATTTTATCCAATCAAACAATTGTCTACTTAATTCACTTTTCTACTGTATATTACCGTACTTCTAACATTTGACCTCAAATATCAATCAAACTGTAATCGTGTCAAATAATTCCAAGTCATTTATATAATGTCTTTTTCTTAGTTAATACACTAACTGTTGTTAAGTGGTCGTTGAAGATAGTGAACAGGAAACCCTGGACTCGGGTTTCGTGCTACTTGGCACTCGTCAGCAAGGTGTACCTGTAATCTTGAGGGAACTAGTGCTCCCTGGCGGATTCGGTCTTGTGTCACCCAGCTTCACAGTCAGAGACGTTACCACTGAGCTATCCGGGCCGCGACCGACCCCCTGTAGGACTGAGATATGATCACAATCGATTGATCACTGGGTGGTCGATAGCATTCGACCTGCACTAAGAAGGACTTGACACACATGACATTGATCACCATCCAGTGATCAATCAATTGTAATACACTAACTGTTGTATTAATCATACCATAATTATTTGATTACATCAGTTATCGCAGTATCATTCGTGCTTAAGCAATCATTCTCTGACTTAACCACTTGATTTTCTAACATTTAAAGTAGTACTTTATTTTTGTAATATAAATTCATTTTCTTTTTAGTTAGTAAATTTGAGCCTGTATCTCTTTACTATCTAGTGTCATTGTAGAATTGCACTAAAATACCTTAATGTTGGTAACATAAAATTAATTAAAATCATCATGCCATAATGTAGAATATTGACCCTCAAATGCCCTGGTATGGCTAAGAGTGGAGAAAGTCACCTATCTCTCTCTCTTGAAATGTTCTCACATAGCCACATGCATACAACATTGCCAGGGGAGTCTTACTCACTGCATTTACGTGGCATTACTGTTGTTTACGAAATCGAGAGGATCGATAGGAAATGTCCGGCGCTTTAATCGGGTTGGTGGTCCATCTAGGGGAGTTGGAAAACCCTCATTCCAAAACAGTAGTTCACATGGGCTTCAGTACCCTGAAGGAACCAGTGGCGTATAAACTAATCGTTGGTCATCGGCTACCATAGGACTGCATCTCCTTGCGTTGCTCCATTGCCTTGTGGATTAGACCTTTAGATCAAAGGTTCGAGAAGTTACTCCGTAAGGAAACCACCTACTTCGGTTTGGGCACGCGGGCAGTATCCCAGCTCTCACACAAATCGAATGCTTCGTGTGGCACATATATATTTGGTACCTCTTTGTACCAATGTTCGTGTTTAAATAAATAAATAATATTATGGTTAATACCTTCAGTCTTTCATTAACGAATTGAGGAGTGAATGATAATATTATCCGTAGTTAAATATTTTCAAGGAAACCATTCAGTTACTTTATAATCTGTAAAATATTACAAATAATCCAGTATTGATTGGTTAGAGCAGAGATTAATACCAACTCGTATTCAGCATACCAATCATCTGAGTAAAGTCAATGAAGATTGAATAAAATAATTCGCAAATAAATATTACATACTAAATTAGGCTGTGGATGATCGATTTGAATATCAGTATAAGGCTACTTAATCTAATATTTCAGTACCATTATCTAAAAATCTCATTACTGATGTAGTTTCAGTGTGAAAATCATGTGGATGCTTTTGGTGATTTCATGTTTTCTAAAGTAAATCGTTTAGTTTTGGAGTTCTTCATAGTCTAGTTCCGGACAGCATTATCATCGTCTACTTTATATAGAGTTCATGAAGTAGTATTGTCCAGAGCAACTATAAAAGCTATACAAGTTAACTATATAGTTCAACGTACACAACAACAACTACAACACTGAACTATAGACCTTTCATTCCTTTTAAATCAATACTTTTTTCAAATACTTATTCGTGAAGTCTAAGGTGTAGGTCTTTCATTATGTTCTATTAGCGTAATTGCTACAGCAGATACATTTTAATTTTATTTAATATCTATCACTATCAGTTGAAATTACTAATCAATTAATTAAATATGTGAGAAATAAAGACCATTAATGTGCAAATTAGTTGACTAACATAGTATGATTTCAAGTTTTCGTTCTTCGATTCATTTATTAATTCATTTCACTCAAACTTTAAGTTACATAACTTCAGTTGATTGAAATTTAATGAAGAAGCACCTGCTCAATACCTTTTGGAATTCTAATAAGTCTTTAACTCTTAGCTACCTGTCACAAAAACTATGTTTGATTCCACTTGTTTTGGTGGGGTTTTGTTCTCTGAGTTGAACTTTGCGCTGATGGCGTCGTTCAGGAGAACGATGAAAGCTCCATGACCAAACTATCCAGCTCTGAAAACAAAACTCCAGCACGACCATCCACCTGAGCTACAAATCTTCCCCACCATCTCGATTTAAAACAAACAATCGAATGAATCGGCTAAAGCATTTAATCTATTTTTGTTTCGTTGTGTATTCGTTCGACATCATTAGTTGTAGTTAAGGATCTGGTAAATCAGCTTGTATCCTGATTATTTAGTCATCGTATGCTACAAAGGTAATCGGAATCTTGTAGACGAAGGGTGATATCACATATCTTTTTCTAGACTCAGCTTTGTCTCCAGTTTTACTAATTATTAGCCGTTTTTTCAATTTAAATTTAATTTCAATTTAAATTAAACCTTCTTGTCTCTCAGGTAGTTGGCAGTAAATCTTAGATTTAGTGTTCGCCCTAGTTGACACTCGTCAACAAGGTTTACCTGCAACTCAAAAGGAATTAATGCTCTGTGTGCTATTCAAACCCACATCGCTCAGTTTCAATCTGAAGCATTACCACTGAGCTGTTTGTGCGGCTTTCGATATCTGAGACAACTACAATTGATTGATAACTGAGCGTTTGTTAATGTCATGTTTTTCTAGTCCGTTCTTAAGTGTTGGCTGAATTCTACCGACCGACTATCTCCAGCCACTTGACATCTGAACACCGTGCGTACAATATTAAGTCATTTAGAATAGCGACCAAATTACAACACAGTCGATAGTATTCGATCGGCAGCTAAGAAGAGGCTGGACAAATATGCCATTGGCAACTAATCAGTGATAAATCATTTGTATGTTCTCTTATTTATTTGTCAATTCTTGAAATTTCTTTATATTGATAATAATATGGAAACACATACTACTTATTTATATGCCATTAGTATGTTTCCTACTTTCTCATTTCAACATTTTTTTCTCATAATAGGATTCAATGTCTTCCAATCAAAACTTAACAGTTGTTTGTTGTGGTTCAGTATTCAAAAGTTGGGATCTAATCAGAGATGGTAATTTTCCTTTTTGTATAACGTTTAAAATTAAACTGTAATAAAAAATTCGATGAAAATGAATAAAGTATATAAACAACGTTGATCGGCTTTCCAGCCAACCGGTAATCAATGTTTGATTATGAATTGAGTTAAAATGAAAAAAGCTTAATAATACGGTTACTAAAACGGCTTTAACATGAGTAATGGACTTTGCAAATTATTCATTAACGTTTTCATCGGAAGTTACTATATTGATGTAGGAATACTTTGTAGCCAAAACGATGAATAAATTTCGTTCTGTTTTAAATCCCTTCTATCATATTTCAATTATTTTTTTTTAACGTTAACTTCGAATTACCTCTACAAAATTGTCGTGCAGTAGCGATTCTTGGAGTATTTCCACTAATGGCTCTATCGTCTAGACACTTAACTTCCAGCCGAAGAGGATTAACTGATCAGTTGATCTGTATTTGTTTGTTGAAGTGTTATGGTTGTTGTAGATCGGGAATCGAATCCGTTATATATGGCTGAAACTGAACGACCTTTTTTAGCCATAAAATTTAGTATCCAAAGTTTATTGTATTTTATTGCCTCTCTCTGTGCTGGTGGACTGCCTATGCTCTTCCACGAGGGGTAACAAGTGTAAGTGTTGTGAATATATGGTCTAATGCTATATCTTGATTTGGTCGTTGCTAGCTTTTTTCGACCTACTCTTACGCTGACAAACATTACCTTTTGAGGTAGGCGGTGATTAGATTTACTTAATCTATATTCCAACTAATTCGTCATCTGTACCCCTCATGTAACTTGAACATTGCTCACTTTATTGTCCCAACATACGCTAGAAATGTTTTTGAGGCATCTGTGATCGAACACTGTTAGCCTCAGTAGTTCGAATCGAAGTAATATTACAGTGTGTGATATGAATTACAGCTAATTTCAGTATACACTTCTGATTTAAATAACTTGCTTTTTTCCTTAAATATTAAAAGTGCCAATACAATGATCGTCTTTGTCATACTTAATCATATCGGTCTGAATACGATCAAATTCATGGATTTCACGCAACAGTCTCTAAACCATAATTAACAATAATCACTATCAACTTAACACCTGGTTAGTGTAAGCGGTTTGTGAAGATTGTTAAGTTTTCTTGCTTGTGTCACAGGCTCTAATTAGACAACCACTGAAGAACACGGAGCACTGAATGGCTGTTTCGACCTGTTATGGAACTGCTCAGGAGTGTACATCCAGGACCGTATCGGGATCGAACCTAAGACTCATAGTCAACATTTACATAGATATAAGCCATTCTATTTTCGATATAACCTGACATTGTCTTATTATTTGAACTTTCTTTCTGGTACATTTTAAAGTGGAAAATAATTCGAATAATTTCACAGTTTTCTTTTCTCTTTATTTCAAATAGGTTTTAAAGATTTTCTGAAACCGTCTGAAGATAGTAAATGGACAGGGACTTTAGAATTAGTTCAACTAAAGCATAGTGCGGCTTATGGTGCCGCTCGTCTTTCAGTCCACTTTGATTCCAAAGTGACTATCCCTATAGACTCAGGTGTACAGTTTGATAAAATTTTGTTCGGTGTAAATTTCTAATACTTCCAAATATATATGTGCATTGACTTTTATATTGTAAGCAACAATATAATTTCTAGTTCTTTTATAATATTTAAAACAAAATTTAGTATTTTTCTGTATTATTTAAGTAGCATTTTTCAATTTTTTTGTATTGTACCCCTATGTGCTCATTTATTGATTCAGTTTAATGAGAAAAAACAAAAAAATATTGATACGGCTTTTTTTGTAACCCCCCCCCTTGGTTACATGAATGTATTTAAAGAAACTATTATGAAAGTATATAATGGTTATCTTGACCAACTCTTAGATGATCTTAAGAATGTCATGTCTATTGCTGGGCATTCCGAAGATGGGGCTGATATGAATAAATAATTTATTATTTTAATACCTCAATTAAATTGGTGTTCGGATTAACATGTAATAGTAAAGATTTGATGATTGGATTGAAAGAATGCTCTGTATCCATAATGATGAATAATTACGGAGTTGGTTTTGTGATTTTAAACATCAAAAACTGTCAATGCATCTTCATAAATAATTTTAGCATCCGTATGAAAAAATGGTCATTTTTCCATTGTTATTTCAAGAATCGCTCAAATTTGTCCTTGTTTGTATGTATATCAACTATAATTGTCTTAGTCAATAACTGGTTGTAGGCTCAGCCTTGACATTTTCTAGGATTTTGATTATAGTGAATTATTAAAATTAAAACACGAATTTCAGTGAAGGGATCTCTTTTCAACGAATTTATTATCAAGCTGTGGTCAAATACTAGTAGCTTACGAGTGTCTTCTCTTAAAGGCCATGTTTCGCAGCCATAAATTAAAACAGAACGGACTACCGCGCAGTATACTCGTCCTTTTATTGATAGACGGATATCTCGCCTTCGCCAAAGGTGACGTAAGTTGGCAAAAGCCAAACGAGCTTTTCGAATCCGTGCTGAGATTTCGTCCGACACCAACCCATTAGGGCTGATCAGACTTCCAAGATAAGTGAAGTTGTCGACGCGTTCGACTACTTCACTCCCTATCCTTAGTTCAGGTGTTGACGCAGACCAGTTGTGAAGCAACAACTTGCATTTAGAGGGAGAGAAGCGCATTCCAAACATTCTGGCATTGTTGCTTAGTGCTACCAGAAGACTCTGCATTTTATCAGCGTCTTCACTAAACAGGACTATGTCATCTGCGTATTCTAAGTCGATAAGTGGACCTCCTGGTAGGAGATCAATACCCGAGAATTCAGTCGACGAGAATGTTATTTCTATCAATAGGTCTATGATGAAGTTAAACAAAAATGGGGAAAGTGGACAGCCTTGACGGACACCACTTGAGGTTGCAAAATTAGATGACAGTTCGCCATAAGCTCTGACTCGACTAGTAGTTTTCGAGTAAAGAGCCTTTATAAGGTTTATGTACTTCTGAGGTACGTCTTTCAATGACAGACACTGCCACAGAATCTCGCGGTCTACCGAGTCAAATGCTGCTTTTAAGTCGTGAATATAATAAGATGATTAAAATGTTTTTGTTATAATAATTAAAGATCATAGAGGTGTAAAAAATAATTAAGGTGATATAATGAGCATTTACGAATAAAATAATGAGAATATAAGACATAAGTAAGGGGGGAATGCAGTAATAATAATTGGATAATCAAAATGCTTAAGGCCAAGGTAACGATAAGACGTACTTCTTTTGTACGCATAGTTCTGGATGGTTAGAGCTTCGGCTATTTTTGAAAGTTGGATGCGAAGAAATCTGGGTAGATTTGAACGAATCATATAAACAACCTTAAATTCATTTTTTGGATCTGTGGAATCATTACAGTCGATTAGGTGTTCAATTATAGAACTCCTAACTGCTTTCCTTTCCCCCTTATAGAACCAAGCAGGAATATGTTCCCATATCCGAGTTGAAAGCGAGCGCTGGCTACGGCCAATGTACCTTGCTCCACAAGAGCAGGTGAACTGGTAGATGCACATGGAGGCGACCAGACGCGGAAGCTTGTCTTTTATGGACACAGAAATTAAGTTTCTACTCGTGAAGGTTATTCGCAATTTAGCTGCATTAAATGTTCTTCTAATAGTTGTTGTTAGACGATTTTCGATTTCTTCTGATGTTCGATCACCTTTAAATTCCAGACTTATATAAAGGTTTTTCTTCGTAACGGAGCAACTAGGTTTCTTGTCACAACTACTTCTATTCATATTCTTTTCTATGAACCGTTCTGGGTAACCATTTTCCGTCAGGGTTTTCTTGAGGAATTCAAGTTCTTCGTTAATGCATTCCTTACTGTATATCTGACGTATTCGATAACATAAAGAGTGGATGAGGTTTCTCTTTCTACTTAACGGAACCCAGCTATAGAAGTTGGTTAGCTGTCCATTCCATGTTTGTTTTCTAAAGATGGATCTTTTTAAAGAACCATTACTCCTTCTCATCAGACGTACATCGAGAAAAGGAATTGATTGGTCCCGTTCCCTTTCTAACGTGAAGTCTATAGAAGGGTGGCATGAGTTAAAGGTTTGTTTGGGTCAGTTAAAATTCTCCAAGTGATGAATGGATGTCACAACAGATTGTAAATCACATTTCTATTGTGTATATGCACCTCATAAAGTACTGTTAGTTCCCAAGCGTCTTCAACGCTCCAATTCTTTCATTGAGCATTAGGTCTGTAATCAGTCCTATAATTCTGTTATATCTTAGATATACATAATCTAGTTACCAAATATTTATACCATAAGATTATATAAATAATATTTGTGCATTAATAAGTCTCAGACTTTACTCGTAATGGAATCTTCACTAGGATATAACGAATTCCACGGTGATAATGGAGTACTCGTCCAATCATAATCATGACATCTCCATCTACATTCTAGAATTCCTAGTTATTTATTTCGTTTTTATAATTGTAGTCAGTAAATCTTATGAAATAAAATTTCAGATACATTTGAAGAGATTTCTTCGTAATTTGTATCAGACACAATTCTTAGAGTGTAGTACTGTGGTGCGTGCTACTTATATTGATATAAGTAGTGTATAACGCGAGTCAGGAATGTAATGTCTGGCAGCAGAAGATCAAGAAAGGAAGAACGCGAATAGAAAGCAATTAGTATAGAAATGCAAGAACAATGAAGTCCGAGAGAATTATTGAACATTTTGCAAATTAGGTATTATAGTATGGTTTTACCAAGTAACTCTGTAATTTGCTAAATATAATTCGGTTGTCCTCATCTGTGTTCTCCTTCACTACTCTTTGATTTGGCAACAATAAATAAAACGTACTTCAATAAAGAACAATTAATTATTGCTCAAGGCTCATATTTTATTAATAATTATTATTTTAACGTAAGAATTAGCATACAACACAATAATGAGAATCAAAGATCAATTTATTATTTTCCATAGCGCACAATACGAACAGCTCGTTTCGGTGAACCGGTAGTAAAACCTGGATTGTTCATTAGAATTCGTCTCAATCTATTCATTCTCCTTGTATCTGATCTACCAACTCGTGGAAATAGTGTAGAACGATCTTGTCGATAAAATGTTAACATATTTTCTGGTTCTTCATTTATTATCTCATCTAGATCATCAGAATCGGTTAAACTATCTAGTGAATATATTGAGGAAACTAAAACTTGATGTAAAAAGTTTTGAAAATGAAAAGAAAACAAAATGTATTTTTTAAAAATTAATTTATCATAATGATAATCAAAAAGAAAGTATACAACTTATCAACAGGCTTGAACTGAGAAATGAGACTAACTTTTCTGTGGGAAGCAGAAAGATACTAAATATATGCTAAGTTTGAACTTAATAGGTGAAACTAGGGTTTATGTTAGCGTCACCAAAACGAAATTTTGTTTTTATCCTCTGATAAGGTTGTCTGTTTTTAAGGTACTAGGTGAATGCTTTCTAAATTTTGTAATGAACTGTATCCCATAGAAATGAAAAAACCCAGTTTCTATGGTTGAATTAGCTAGTTCTGACACGTGTAGTGTCCATTGTCATGTTAAGTCCATATACCTTATTCTAGCTTTCGGACAGGCCAATCCATTCATTTTAGTTGATTTGTATTTAGACCTTGTTAATCATTCGCTTATCAATCTTGACTGTTTTTATATGAGCGCTTATGTGTGTGTACACTTCTTATCCCATTACTCATCACATGTCTGTAGCCTATTTTTGTGTGACTGTAAATATTGATTAACGCCTAACTAAAGGGAGTTGGCTTACCCGCCATCTCCACTGCGCGTCGTTTCTCTTCGTTCTATTCCATCCGCTTCATATACAAAATATATGTATTCAAACGCCCATTCTCGTTATTTGACTTATTTAATTCCGTTATTCACTCAACGTGGATTAAGTCGATGAAATACACGAGGATAGGCGACATATATATTTCGACAGCAATCATTCATACGACCTACTTGGAGTCAGATCCCGGGTCACTAAAGTGGAGAGCCCGTCAAAAAACATCGTCCAATCTAAATGACGACAAAATAAAGGGCCCCACTAAATGAGACATAGATAAAACATAACTTTCGAATACGCTCTAAACTGATGCTGAATTTTCAGAGATGAATATTTACTTAGTTAACATCCTAAATTTCCAGTAAGTGTTTGTGGAGATTGTTGAATTTCATTGAGTTCTAGTGTCGGATATGAGGCGGTTAATTACCTATCGAATGCAACGGAAGATAGTCACGCACTGTTGTGGATTGATTGAATTTAGACATTGAAACCGTTGGATTCCGGCTCATTGGTCTGGGAGTTAAGAGTTGGCGCGAAAAAAGGTTCTGGGTTCGGTCCACGCTTGTGGGATCGTGGGTGCTTACTGCTGAAAAGTCGCACTCCAGGCCGAAACGGACATCCAACGTATACATGTTTTCAGTGTTGGTCAAACTTGCTTCGGTTTATGATCTTAATGAAATCACATAATTTCTCCTACAGGAGAAACCAGTGAGTCAAACATTTCATCTCGTTGAAGTTTGATTATTTACCGTTTTTTCAGTT